GGAAGGCTGATTTTCCTCTGGAGGCAGTGGGAGGGTAGAACTGCCTGTCTGACACACAGTTCCAAAAATGGAAGGTTTCAGAGTCGTGAGGAGCTAAAATTAATCCTGCGTGTGTGTAAACCTACTTAGCAAACACCCATTGAGTTCTTTTACATCTGTGACAGCAGCAGAGTGCAGGGTTTGCTCACACAGCTTAAACACAACTAAACTGCCTTCCTTTCCTGCTCTGTGTCCCTCTCAGTGCCCCGTTTCACTGCAGCCAGCAGTGGCTCAGTCTGATGTGTTTTAATGGAATGGCATACATTCTTTGTACATAATAATGTTAATAGATGGTGTACTTTCCCCTTATTCCTGGATTTCCTTCCCTTATTCCTGTACATCCTATACTTTTCCCCTACTCTCAGTGAATTAGGAGATGTAATAATCATAAGAAGATACTAAAATGTAAATTTATTATGGAATAAAACTTAAAGTTGATGCCTCTGCATAGCTATCACTGGAACATTCGAGTGCCTGAGAGGTACTTTTTCATTATTTGAAACTTATTCTTGGAGCAGAGCAGTCCCAAGAATAGGCCATGAAATCTTGCTGCCTTAAATTTGGAGTCACATCTCATTCTGCTGAATATAAATATTCTGCTTCTGTCTTCCCCTCTGTTTAAGGTATGTTTAACGATATCTATTTTTCTCTATAGCAGTTTTAGCACTGCAAAACTGGTACTAGTCCCAAGATCTTTACTCACACAACTAATTGGATGGGTTTAGTATCACTCTGAGCCGTGGAATTAAACCCTAGAGAATGATTAAAGCCACATCAACAATAAATGATAATTAAATATGTGATCACACATAGTTTTATTGCTACTGCAGGAAATAACAAAACTTGTTAACTATAAAAGCTGCATTCAGTTGGGATGTATTATTAATAAAGTGCCTCTGGATGCAGCAAATCATTACTCCCCTCTTCACTTTGACACTGGAGTCATATTAGATAGAAATCCCGTATTTTCTCCAGTTTGAAGAGTGTGTTAGCTAATATTTACATATCAGTTCAGTGTAAGCTTGTAACAGCACAGGTATCTTGAAAAAAATTAGAAAAAGGATTAATCTCTGCAGTCAGGGACTCAGAAGGCTTTGCAAAGTAGTCTGAATAGTAGAACAGTTGGCAAAAATTGGGTATCTTTTGCATTTCTAAAAAGAAAAAATAAATCCAAATTCTGGTTTTGTACTTTTAAAAACTGAATGAATAGCTGGGGTTCAGTTAATTATCATCCACTTAGCACTAGGTGAACTAATGCCTCTGTAGGTGAGGAGACAGGAGAGTTCAGGCCTGTGCTCCTCAGTAACTTTGCTCTGTGACTTTAGACAGCTCAGAAAAGGCTTAGAACGCTGTTAGGTTTTAAAATATTTGGGTTATGCTAAACCTAATCTATGACTAAAACATTTTTCTAGGAAGCTTGAGAGATATTTTGAAGAAAACTGGGTTGCCTTGCCTGTTCTAATACTTGAGTTAAAATACAGCTGTTTGTTTCCTTGACAGAAATGTGTGTGCACCTCCATAAAGAGCATTTCTAGACTTGTGTTTGAAAACTCTCTTCAGTGATTTCAGTGTGTCCATACAGTTGCAGAAGTTACATTTCATAGCTGAAGATGGTGTAATCAGTGCACATTTAGTCTGCAATTCATGGGCTCAAAATAACAAATGCTGCCTTTTTCTTTCAGTACTTTGTTCCCTAAAAAGTAGTGCCTGACTGAGAAGGTTACAGAGGAGGCCAAGTAGAAGTGTATTTGTTGTGCAGAGATTGCTTTGCAGCCTCAGTTTCCATAGCATTAAGATCTGCCTCGCCTCTCACCACAAAATCAGGCTTATTTTGCTCAATTCCAGCATGCAGGGGTAAAGCACCGTCTGCAGCCATTGCTTCAGACTGAATTTACTGCAAACCCATCTGCTGTGTCCTCGTGTGTCAGTGCTTGAGAAGAATTATTATCTCTGCCTCTTATGACCAGTGCTCTGAAAAGTTTCCAGTGTGCCACTGTTTTCCCAAGCTCCTCCTTTGCTCTCCCTCCCGCAGTGCCTGTGCTGCACTTTGAAGGCAGCTGGGGAGGCAGAGCTGCAGCTGCTGTCACTGAGAACCCTTTTCTCTGAGCCCCTGGCCCACAGCTGCTGGAGGAGCTGCCACACAGCAGCCAGCCCTGCCCCTGCAGGCCCCTGCCCGCCCCTGCCCTGGCCTGTGCACCAGCACATTCCAACAGCTCGGTGTGACAGCACTGGCACACAGCACCTGGGATGCAGGGATTTCCCTGCAGGTGAGTAACATCCCTGAGCATTCCCTACTGGAATTGATAACAGGCTATCACTGCAGTGACAGCAGGGCCTGGATACAAAGTGAGGATTCTTAGATGTGGGTGGAAAAACTCGACTAAAAAAAGGGTTCTTGTCTCCATATGCTTTAGGAAACTCTGAGTCATGAGTTTCCAACACATGCTCTGTGCTTCTGTATCTTCAGCTCCACGGAGGTGACTTGTGGCAGGGTTGACTGCACCGTAAATCTCTGTGTACTACTTCATATGGAGAACGTTTCCAATCACTAGAAGACTGAAGCCCTTGCAGATGAGAGCTGTTCTTTCCCCAAGAGACACTGATTTGCTCTGTTCTTGACAAGAAATAATTTTTGGTTAAGGCACGAGGTGTCTGTAGTTTCCTTGCAACGCCATTCAGAAATATTCGTAGCACTCCACCTTACCTGGTTTTAGATGTGCTTGTGTAGTGTGCTTATTTGTGCCTGATCTGCTCTTACAAGCAGTTTGTCCTGTGGGCAGTTTTCTGCAGTCTGTGCAGAGCCCTGCAGTGTTGTGATAAGATGCTGTTTTGATCCAGTGTAAATAAGTTTTGTTAATGCTGCAGTCCCACTATGGCAACATCCTTATTTGCAGTAAGTGGAGCTGATGAAATGAGAGGCAACCCTAGCGGATGGATTGCTTGGGGGTCTGAGTTTCTTATACCTGACTCCACAGTTAAATGGATCCCTAGTTTATTAAAGTTTATCCCATCACAGTGGGCATACAGATCATATTGGAAACCTTGCAAGTCTGCTGGTTCTTCTGGCAGTGAGGAGGGGCAGGTAATTGCTGAGAAAGTTTTGCCTTCTCTGATTTTCTCCTTTAAACTTTTCTTCAGATACTCTATTTACTTTAAAGCTTTCTGTCAAGACTAACTCTGCAAGGTATCAGTAACTACAAAGAGCTGGGTTCCTTTCATGTCTCCTGCTGTGACTGACATGCATCTCAGCTTTGTGTCTCACAATCTAGAATCCATGTTTCACGATGAATTTACCACATGATGTCACTGCAATAATCCATAGATACATCAGATCCCTGTATTTGTTTCAAACTAAGGTTTGGGGTTTTTCTTGTGGTATCAGAAATTCTGCAGGGATATCTAGGAGGTTTTAGGTTACAGTGACAGGATTTTTTTACAATTTCATGAGGCCTAAGAAATTCCTCTCTATGTAGCCACTTAAATCCTCTAAATCCTTGCTAATTTTATTGCTTTATGTGTGCACACAGGACTCAAGAAGCTGGTTATGTTAAAATGTTCATATGGTTGGCTGATATGTCATTGTTTGGTGCAGAAGGAAAACGTCAATTGTGTGGTACAAGTCAGAAGCCTGAGCTGAGTTCACCCCAGTGAAGGAGCTGCACAGGTCGAGCTTATCGTAAGGATACAACAATGAAACACAGAGAAACGTGACACTAAAAATACATTGTTTTTCCCTTCCTAATCACACACAGCAGATCATACTTCCCAAGCCTCCCTAGAATTAGCTGGGGTTTTTTGACTGTTTTTGATACCGTTCATATAATCCCTGCTTATTTATTTGGAATCCAGTATATAGATAAAAATAGGTATTTTAAAGTGTTTAGCAGGAGGAATTAGTGAGCTTTTATTGTAAATAAAATGCCCTGCTGCATTCAGCATTGGTGTGGCCTCCCCTGGGGTACTGTGTGCAGTCCTGGGCCCGTAATTTCAGAAGGATGGGAAGATTCCTGTGCATGTCGAGAGGAAGGCAGCAGAGCTGCTGAAAGGGCTGGAAGGAGCTCCTGGGAGGGGTGGCTGAGGCTTTGGGAGGCTCTGGTTTCAGACAGGGAGGCTGAGGGGTGACCTCGTTGCTCTCCACAGCATCCTGAGCAGAGGAAGGTGCTGAGCTCTTCTCCCAGGAGAGGGGATCCAGTGCCAGGGTGCATGGGAATGGTTCAGAGCTGTGTGGTGATGGCTTCAGACTGGACAGCAGAAAGAGGAAGGCATTTACCAAAAGGGTGGTCAGACCTGGAACAGGCTCACAGTGTGGTCAGACCTGGAACAGGATCACAGTGTGGTCAGTGCCCCAGGATCACAGTGTGGTCAGTGCCAGTATTTGGTTTAAGAATGGGAAATATTCCATGGCATCCAGCTAGTAAGGGCTAATAGTGAGTGCTTTTAAAAAAAATAATGCTTTTAATACCAGTGCATTATCTTTAGTACCCTGTGTGGCTGCCAAGTTAATAGAATTATTCTCCTTTAGTTTTGGTAAGAGCAGGGCAGATTCTAAATGTTTGCTTTCAGTGCACCTTAAAGAAATGCCTGAGCTGAAAATTGAAGAGAACTCCCTTTTACTGCATACTGATCAAAGCATGACCCCTTACTGGTAAGAAAAAGAAACTGAAAACTAATTTCAAGGTTCAGGATTAATTCTCTGTCAAATTGACAGAAGAGAGCCTACACTAGAATACATTTAGCATAAATGTAGAACCTTCTCTTGATCTGTTCCTTTCAGTGTGAAAGTTATTACTTTGATTTCATGGTTCCACAGCACAAGCATTTTAAAAGTTAGCTGTCTGAATCTGCTTTAAATATCTACAAACACATGCTTATTACCAAATGAATCTATCGGTTTGCTTCCTATTAACATCACTGAGCTCTGCTGATGACCTTTCCCTGAATGTGTGTTTTTCCATCTTCCCTACAGTAATCGCTCAGAAATGATTGTTATATGAGGAGTTGGCTATGGCAAACAGGAAACATCAAAGCACTGCAGCCAGCATGCTGGATCACAGAGCCAGAGCTTGTCCTGCTTCATCTCACAGCAGAGAGCCTGAAAGTGAGGAAAGTGACCTTCCTATTGAAGATTATGCAGCAAAAGAGGCACAACTAGCACCCGTCAGACAAGGGGGTCTTCCACTGGTGGAACAGGAGTGCAATGACCACAGTGGGGACGGGGACTCCAGCTCTGACTACGTCAATAACACCTCCGAGGAGGAGGACTACGATGAAGGCTTGCCAGAGGAGGAGGAGGGGATCACGTACTACATCAGGTACTGTCCAGAGGATGACAGTTACCTGGAGGGGATGGACTGCAATGGCGAGGAGTATGTTCCCCAGGAGGAACACCACCTTCAAACAGAGGAATGTCAGGAAGCTGTGGAAGAGTGGGCTGAGGGTAAAATTCAGCACCAGGATGGAAGCGAGGTGATGGACAGGCAAGAGTGGCAGGAAGGTCAGGATAACAGCGTTCAGATTTTGGAGGATGAAGCATCGTCTTTGGAGATTCAAGACCAAGAAGAAAACATACAGTACTGTCAAAGTGAAGGTGACTATCTGGACTATTACCCAGCAGAGGCCAATGGCAATTCCCAGGGAATGTCACCCTACCATTCCAGAAAAGAGGATCCCGAGCTGGAGGAGCAGGAAGAGGACATTGACCAGATTGTAGCAGAAATCAAAATGAGTATGAGCATGAGCAGCATTAACAGTACAGCAGAAATGAGTCCAGAGCACACGGGGACTGAGAACGTGGCTCATGAGTGCAAAGAGACTTGTTCAAAGGGAGAAGCTGTTCACAGTGCTAACAGGCATGAGGGGAGGCCAAAATCCCTGAATATCCCATCTGCCTCCAAGCACAGTGGAGATGTGCATCGAGGATTTAAAGCCAAGTCAAGAACCCCAGAGGACAGGCAGAAGTGGCCCCAAGAGCAGGTATGAAGTGCTCTGTTTAACCAGATTGCCAGAGACATTATGCAAGTTTATATTAATTATTCAAAACAAAATTAGTGATATTTTTATATATTAGCAATGTTTATATACATTTATAAAGATGTTATTATATAGATATAAGCAATGTTTTTACTTTTACTGTTATTGCATTCACTGCCACCTTGTGTGTTTAGAAAAAGGTGCTGAATGTAATCAGTACACACAGAGAACTAGCAAAGAGGTTTCGCACAGAGAACAGACAATTCTAGGTCAGTGAAGGTACTCCAGTTGCATGGGGCAAACCCAGTTTGTTTGCTCTATTTTCATTCTGCAGTGGCACACTAGGGAGATTGAACACTCGGGTCAGCACTGCAATAATGGAATTTTTCCATTTTCCTGTACCATTGCCTTAGTGGGTGATTACTTTTGTTTTCAATAGAACACGTGTCAGGGCTGTGTACTGCCTGTGTTAAAGCAGCTCAAGGAGTGCCTGTGTATTGCTGGGGGTTTGTCCTAGCTGGACGTGTCTTGACCTTGACAAAGAGGAGTAAATGGGAGCTTTACTTGTACTAAAAATGCTGTTAAGCAGTTCTATCACAGGAATGATGTAGAAGTTAATTTAAATCATGCATAATCTTTTCTTGTTCTAATGCTGAGTGCCAGAAAAAGAGAGTCTGAGAATGAAGCTCAAGCTTTTCTAAAGGAACAGAGGTGTGACTTTCTTCCCCTGAAGTTTCCAATTGAATGTGTAACTTCCTTAGAGAGCCCTAAGGTCACTTTAAAGCTTGGACTTTGCATCTCGAAAGTTACATGCAGCTGAGTATTAGTTATCTTCTGCAATGAAGAGAGATCTACCTCAAAGAGGTAAAATATAGCTTGTATTTAGACGAGATACTAGTAAGAACAAGTGAATTATTTTGCCTTATCTTTAATTAAAATGCTTTATTAAGCTTCAGATGCCTAAGTTTGCTCTTTCAGCTTTGTCAAATCTGTAAATGCAGTTTTCCATAGTGAAGTGCCCCACAGTTAAACAGTTTAATCTAGGTGATTTCATTAAAAACAGGCATTAAAATGTTAATTCATCCAGAAAAGAGTAAAAGGAAATGAAATGTTCAAGTATATGCTGATCAAACAGGTCGACCTTTATTATAACTGGGAGCAAAAAATCCTAGAGGGATATTTTCAGATTACCCATATGTACAGCAAGTTTTTAACACTGATTTTACAGTCTCTTTTCAGCAGTATAATTATTACCAAATGGTGGAACTTACTGTATTTAGGGCCCTGCTGCTGGCATAGAAGCTCCTGTGTGGATAAGCCTGGAATTGTTTGAGTAGTTACCAGGTACTGGCTACGAGCAGAGGAGTTGAGTTAGCATATTTTAGACTAGTGATGGTCTTTCTAGCACAGTACAGCAGCAGCTGCTGCTGGGAGCACGGCTGCTTGCAAGTTTTTAAAATATTTGCAGAACAAAAGAGAAGAGGAGCTCTTGAATAAGAAAGTGAATTCTTCTATACTTGACTAAAATTGTTGGGTTTTTTCCCCATCAAATGATTGCCTATTCAAAACAAATTTTTAAATAGACTTTTAACATCTTTCTGTACTCTTTCAAAGTTTGTTTATCAGAGAGTGAGCTGAATTGCATTGTACCTTGATAATTTTTGATAACAGCTGAGGGTTGTGTGGCACTGGGATATTGATGTAACTGCCCCTGGTGTGAAAAAAACCAAAAGAACCAAATATTTCTGAACAGAGCTTTCTGTAAAGCTCTGTCTGGGCTTTAGTTGTTATTTGTTCTTTTCACCTGCTGCAGGTTGCTTATTCTCAGCTTCATCTGAAAATCAGGCTTATTTTGAGGTCATTAAACTAAGAGTGCAGTGCCCATTTCTGCCAAATACATCTGTAACAGTCCAGAATAAAAGGTGTGGCTGGACCTTTAACATTGAAATTGGACTTCAAAGAATTTAGATAAATTGCAGAGGATTTTGTCTCTCTCTTGGGGCATTCGAGTCTTTTAATATTTACTATAAAATGTCTGAGGGATGGACGCAGTTACTGTCTAAATGAACCTGGGTCTCATTATTGAAAGCAAGACAGCCATAATTTTCACTGCAATAATTCAAGTTCTTTTATATAAACACAAGGCCACTGTCAGTACATTGGCATGCTAAACTTACTGTGTGCAGAGTTTGCTTAGGAGATCCTTGGTTCTGTCACTCTGCTAAAAGATCTGTCACTGTACATGTGCATCCCCCAGCACAAAATACCACAGTAAACAGGATGACAGAGGCAGACATTCCACCTGGAGCGCTTTTTTGCCTCATTTATCTTTAAACAAATGTAGATCTGAACGCTTTGAGGTTAAATCAAGATACTGTGTATATGTCAGGTTCATTTTCAGTTTAGCCAAGTGTGTGCTAATCAGAAAACTGTCAGAGCTTTAAAATTGTTACCATTCTGTTGTACATACTGGAGTTAATATGTTTGCTGTCAGTGTTTACAGCAATGTATCTTCATTGTGGCCATGTCATAATCCCTGCTTAAAGGATACTTAATCTAAATCCTACTATTTTAGGGAATAATGTATGATGATTATGCTTGTTGTTCTAAAAGCCTCTAGATATTTGTTTGCCTCCCTGATACATTTCACTGCACATCAACACAGACTGCCCCACGTTAGGGTAGCCATGCAATATCATTAGAGCTGTCTTGTCTCCAGCAGAAGAATGTTTATAGGCAGAGGTTTGGGAAGGTTCTCAGCTATTACAGCATGGGTGTATAACAGTGGGTTCCCGAGTCCTGGTGCTCTGTGTGTATCTCAGATGGAATTTTCTTTCAATAAATCCTGCTTACTACTTGATTTGCATATGTTGTGTTACCTGAGAGTTGTCATTACTGAGCTAACAATAGCTCTGATGTGCTTGCTTCATCAGCATATTTTGTTCAGCTGATAAATATTAGTCACAGGCAGTACTTTGTGCAGAGATGAACAGAAAGACTTCCTTTCACTACAGCTTTATACTGCATTTGAGAGTCAGCAGACAAGGAGTTGCGTTCACATTTAATGTTCAGACTGAGCCTCTCCAATCATGGGGCTCAGTGTTTTCCATTTGCAAAGTTGTTGATCCAGCCTTTCGTTTGTGAAGCTCTACAACAACATTCAGGCACTCATTTTTATACATAATGGAGAAACTGAGAAAAAAGGGAAATGAAATATCCTAAACCATACCAATTTGTTCCAGAAATCACCTTGGCTGTCCAGATTTCTAACCCTGCAAATGTGACTCATGAAAACTGCACTTTCTTGGCACGGATGGGACACAGGCACTCCCTGCCTTGGTGCTGCTGTTCATGTCAGTCTGGAGAAGAAATTCTGCCCCTGTGACTACTGGAATTTAGAAAAAAAAAGGAGTGTTCTGTAGTTTAAAAACCTCAGTACTTTCTTTGTGTATTTTCTCCTCTACATTTCTCAGAAGCCTGAAGCTGTGCTGCCAGAATCCTGTAGATTTGCTCGCCCCAAAAGGAAGGAGATGCCAAGAAGTATCTCCCCCCACACAGGGTCCTGTACTCAGTGCTAGAATTCTGTTTTTCAGGTGGCTGTTAGGGCTGTTTTGATTATGTCCAGTACTGAGAATGAGCACGTGTAAAAATTCTTATTTTGATTTCTGAATAATTTGAACATGTCAGCATTTGGCCCAATTTCATGTGAAAAATTTGCATTAAACAAAATAATTTAAATTTAAATCAGTAGTATAACTGCTACTTAATGATAATTGAAATGTCTTATCATTTACATCAAAGCAGATATTTTATTTTAATTAAAGACAACATTTTTGTATGAAACTGATATTTGCGAAATTACAATAGGAAATTTGGTTATATCACATTTTCGTATTTCTGTACCAGTAATGAATATTGATTGTACATAAATAACTACAGATAAGTAATAGAGAACACACTAAGTAGAGTTAATGTTAATGTTTTGTGATTTTTTTAAAGTAAATTTAATTTAGTCTGTGGAGAATTTTCTGATTATCTTTGCACCGTTGACTTCCACTTTGTTTTGATGCTTTTCAGGAAACAAAAGGGTCTGAAATCCTTTCCTTTTTCTTCCAGATGTGCAATGGTTTAGAGCAGCCCAGGAAGCAGCAGCGCTCAGACCTCAACGGGCCAGTTGACAATAATAACACACCTGAGGTAGGTCCCTGGGCTGCCTGGCTGGCTGAGCATTCCCAAGGGGAAAGCAGCATCACACTGCCAGCTTTTCCCTCTCACACACCCAAACTTAGGCTCTGTTTCTTTTCCTGAACTGACAGTAAATACCATGTGTGCCTGCTCTGAAAACCCTTTGAACTATACCCGTGAATGTTTGCTGCCTCATTCATTTGATGTACCTGTACATGGCGTGTACTCAAGCCTGAAATTTTCTGATGACATGGGGAGAACAGTTCAGAAGTTCTCTTTTTGGATTACTGGAGAGCAAAACAGCATCAAAAGGAAATTGTTTTCTCTTCCTCCCCCACCCCAGTGCCAGTGTCAGCCCTGGTTAGTCAGCTGTGAAGATGCAGAGGCACACAGCCCTGCTCTTGTCACTGCAGGCTGGAGCAAAGAGACATCTAGGAGTGCAGAATGAGTTATGTTTGAGGCAAGGCACAAGGCAGTGATATTCAGAATTAAAAGCAGAAGTCTGTTGTCTAAAAACAGAACATATTTATCCTGTAGCCTGTTATATTAATGCAGAGCCACATTCCTAAAGCCTTTTCCCATAGTGGAGAAATCAGCCTCTTTCCTGGAAGCAGGAATGACTGAGGAGACTGGCAGAAGAGGAGGAATGGAAGCACTGTCTTTGTTTATTGAGAACAGAGACAGGAGAGTTAAACTGCTTGCTAGATCAAGTGTAATGCTGTGCAGTCAGGGACAGTTCTTTTTATTCACTGACCCAGAATCTTGCTTTGTTAAATGTTCTTATTGGAAAATCGATGTATCATTAATAGGCAATGTGATCTAATGGACAAATTATTGGACTGGGAATTGCTGGTTTGTGTTGCTCATTTGATAGTTGACTTCCTAGAGCATTTTCATGGTCTTCCACTACCTTCTTTATATTTTTTTATGTGTTGACATCTGCTTAAAATACTCTGAGGTTCCAGGTACACTCTGTAACACTTAGTTTGGGTTCATGACTGTGATGTAATGTGTTTCACTGTGCTGAATAGTGGCTGTGTGGCAGTGGTCAGCTGTTTAATATGAATTCACTTCACTGTGTGAAAGTTATTTGGTTACAACTATACCATTTTTATTTCTCAACAGACAAAGAAAGTGTCTTCCTTTCCAAGTTTTGTTGATGGTAAGTTTGAAATCATCCATAGTTAAAGCAGGACAAAGTGGAAGCAAATACTTTAATATATATTAAAGATCCCAGTTCTAGAAACCAGCCAAACCCAAGAGAAAACTTTTCAGAAAGCGGAAGAGTTGAGGTATGGAAGTATTGAACATTTTCGTGCTTCCCCATGGCAGTGGGAGCACAGTGGTGATAAAAGGGAGGAGCAAACAAATTCAGGTGAAGATGGAGACAACTACACAGTGGTTAGAAAAGGGGGTGACAGTGGGCCCAGCAGGGTGCAGATTTATGAGCCTACAGGAGCCCTGTGTTCTTTAGGGCCCATTGCTGCACTATGGGAATCTCAGCTGTCAGCACAGATAGGTTCTCCTGAACTGCCAAAAACCCAGTCATTCAGTCCTCTGGTTAGGACAGCAATGCTTTGACTTGTTCTTTTCAATCTCCTTTGCACTGCTATATTCTGTTGGAAGAAAAATAAGTCAATTTATTAACACAAGAAAGTGGACAGAAATAAAATAGGATTGTACTGAAAAACATTATCACACTGATTCACAGACAGATGAAGAACTTTTTAAGGGGAAATGCATACAGCTCTTCCTGCAGAGGAGATGCCCCCACTGTGAAGTAAGAAGCAACAGTAGGAGACTTCCAAGGATCTGCCCCTTAGATCTGCCATGGCCACACACAATAGAAACCATAAAAGAGTGTTAAAAACTTAATTTTTAATGCATTTCTCAAATCAGGAAAAAATGCAATTTAGAATAATATTAGAATGTCCAATATATTTTTCTTTTATTCCCTGATCTCACCACCTTGACGTTCATCTTCTGTTTTCAGTAATTTCCTTAAAGAGCTAGAACAAGTGGAAGGATCAGAGATTGTCCCTCGAGATTGACATCTGAGGGACATTGCATGGAACACTTGGCATGTTCTGGCTAACAGGCCCTAAGTAGAGGTGAATTTAAATGCATTCTCCATGAGGGCAGAGCCAAGAACGCAGGCTGGTACTCTGTGAGAGGCCTCTGCTGATTGTCTGGTGGAAACCATAACGCAAGGGCAGCGTGCACAGAGCTGGAGAACAGGCTGGGGAATTCAGCCCTCCCAGCACCGCAGACACAGCTGCACAGTTTAATTTTGTTTGGATAAAAACTTTGTCTTCTTCTTTCCATACCAGTCATCTCAACGCTCTGTTGGAAAGGGCTCAGAATACCCTTTTACATAGCATAATACTTTTCTTTTTAGTTCAATCCTTTTGCTTTCTCTGATTTTTCCTGTAGTTGCAGTGTATGTGAAAATAAGCTGTGTGTTAGGCTTTCTCTACTGCAGGTGTTATATGGCATTGCCTAATACAAATAAATACATGGCCCACTGGGAGCTTATGATAGCTTACATGACTGCTCTGAATTCAAAGAAAACCACACTTTTTGTTATTAGCTTGTATGCAGAGTCCCCAAAAGAGCAGGACCTTTCTGCACATGAGAAAAGATTCTGCCAGCTAGCACTGCTGTTCTTCCCTGAGCTGTGACAGTGATACCACAGCCATCTTCTGGTTAGATTAAAGCACTTACAGCATGACTCCTTAACTGCAGTACCTGTATCTGTGTCTCTGTTAATGCATAATATCTTTCATGTGCATGGGAACTTAAAAAAAAATGAGATAACGGGCCCAAAAATGTTGGAATTGTTTCAGCAGTAATACCACCATGTGCTGGTAGTGGTAATTAGCTCCATGTTCAGTGGTTCTGGCGTTTTTGCTCTCTGTTGTATCACCATGAATCCCCCCTGCACAGGAACAATAGATCAGCAGAAAACCACGTAAGCTCTATTGCATTGATAAGATGGTGCAGGAATTCAGATTTTTCAGAAATAGTTACCTAATGTTTAAGCACCAATACTCAGCATAAAATTCCAGTCTTTGCTCCCATCAAACTAACCTTTAAGTTAGAAATCTATTCCTCCTTCCCTCCCTCATCAGGAAGCCTCACACACGCCTGCAGTCAAGGTCGTGCCTAAGTGCTCTGATGAGCTGGGAGCTCAGCCAAGTCTGCATTTTTGCATTATTTACACAGACAGAGATAAGGGAAGAAAACACTCAGGTAACCCAGCTTGACCCTGGCAATTTTGAGTACCATTCCATCCTTCCCACGGATGTCTTATTTTACCTGACAACTGCTTGCATTGCCATCACGATGGGAATGTGTGCTGGAAGTGCTTTCTCCCCAACAAGGCCTTTTTTGATGGTTTTTTTCTGTATTATTTATTGCTGTAGGTATTTTGAACATGCTTTGATTTGTACATGATGTAGCAGACATTGTTGCTTGTATAATGATTCCAGAAAAAAATCACTTTCTAGTGCTGTGAGGAAATTATGAAACATCCCAAACCCCCCCAATCTTTAAAGAATCCCAATAAATAACATTATATAAAATTGCTTAACGTCTTAGGTTATTTCCACGTTCAAGAAGTTTTTCATACTAATTAGTTAAAAGCACCTTTGCTGTCCCCAAACAGCCAAGGCATGAGAAGAAATTGTTGTGTAGCCTATCAGTGACTTGGAGACCAAGGAAAAATGTCTCGCTTAAAGATGTGCAAAGCACGCTGGAAGCGGGCCAAATTCAACATACTTGGAAATTATTGAAGAGAAAACAGAATCACAGAAAGAAAACACTTCCCTGAGTCCTTCCAGAGCTTTTGGGATAGAAAGAAATGAGATGAAGGGATGGATATATTTCAAATAGCCAGCACAACTTTTTTTGTTGACAAATCCTGCAGACTCTTTAGAGTTTTGGTATTTGCTTGATGTAGTAATATTAGAATTTGCACCAAGAATTGAATTTTACTTGTCTTCAGACACAAAGTATTTAAAGGAAATTAATCTAAATTACCTGCTAAAGGAGTTTACTTAAACTGATTTAAGCATTATATGGGTAAGCATATTTCAGAGTTAAAGCAATCTGGATTCAATTTAGCCTGATTTACTTAGCCTGAAGTGAATGAAGGAAATAAAGGCACTTTAAATTTGAATGAGCGTGTTGATGCAGGTATCCACTGAGGTTTTGCTAACTTAACATTAAATTGACATCTTTAATTAATTCCCCTCTCTGGTACCCTTGAATCAGGATGTCAGCATCAAGGAGAGATGCATGAGACTGTTTTAGGCCTGGAGAGACCTATGAGTCACACCATCAGCAGAGGTACCATCAAATACATGATCCATGTGCTGGTAAATGGAATGGTACAGAGATACAGGAATGGAGTTCTTGGGGAATTTGGATTATGATTTCATTCAGGGAACTGTAGGGAAGTACTGCTTGAAGAGGAAAGTCACTTCTTTCAATCATGTTTATTTTCTGTTGGAAATGGGAAAATGAAATTGGAATGGGAAAATGAAGGACAGGAATGCTCAGTGGAAGTGATATGTGCAAACCACTTTTTGGGTACATTTAATCAGCAACAGCATGCCATAAATTCTTCATAATAATCTTCTACATTGAATTGATTATAAGTAAATTGAACACTGAACAATAAACCTTTTTTTAAAATTAATCTTCCCTTTTGGTGTAAGTTTTCTCCTCACACAAGATTAATATACTTCAAAAACTGTGTTAGGAGGTTGGCAAGATGATCTAGCTCAAAGCAAATTTCTTTTATAAAACTGTTGAGGAACAAAAATTATTCACTATCAAGACATTTCAGCCAAAGCCTGGAATGACTGGTTTTTATTGATCTAATCAAGTTAGATGTAAAGCTTAACAGTTTAATAAAGAGGATGATGTGCACAGCCCTAGTATAAATAGGTTTTATTCTGTTCTCCCTGCCCCCTTTTGCATCCTTTGTAAGAAACAACTTGCAAAATGCAAGATAATGTTAGAATTTCATCAGAGAAACAATGTAATTAATACTAAGTGTATTTGTTGAATGAAGGTTAAAAGAAAATTTTCTCTGAATTCAGGCCTTACACTTGACTGAACAGCATCAAGAGGCCTGCTTTGCTTTTTCCCTGAACTTTCTTAATTGTTGAGTTTGACAGTGCACTTTTGCTGAGGCAAAGTCCACCTTTGTGCCCATTGTTCATTAGTGTTTTTGCCAGCGATGAGCGTCAGGGACTGTGTACTTTTACAAACATCTCAAAAACAAACAAAAAAGTTAATCCACGAATGTGTATTCAAACAGAAGTCTAGCTGATGCCGTGTAACAGTTATAAACAGGAAGAAAGGGATGGCAGAGGTACCTATTAGCCTTTCTGAAACTTGTAAATAATCCTGATGTGTTTAGCAGTGCAACACAGGAAGAATTTTCCAATTATTTGCCTATAGAATTCCACATCAAACCACTGTGCAGTGTTATACTGTATGTTCAGTTAATAGCTGGTTTTTTTGTGGGGAATAATTATAGGGAAAACCAGAATTGACTTTGCACTAGAGTTCTTCACCTGTTTCATCTTAAAAAAGGGATTAAATGGTTGTTCAAGCTGCAGTGTCCCCTACTCAGTTCCTCCTCTTTCTGCACTCTTTGGAAAGGCAGTAACAGTAAATGTCTCCTGTCAGTTCCAGGACCCTGTGAGCCCGAAGACCTCATCGATGGCATCATCTTCGCAGCCAATTACCTGGGCTCCACTCAGCTGCTCTCGGAGCGCAACCCCTCCAAGAACATCCGCATGATGCAGGCGCAGGAGGCCGTCAGTCGAGTCAAGGTGGGGCAGGGCCTGCAGCTCACACCTCTCCCGAGGGCTGGAGTCACCTCTCCAGTCTCTCTCGAGATCTAGAAATAAGTACAGATCTAGTTCTGTAAATACCATGAGTTTCCAGTGCCTGGTATAAAAATACACACAGCATCTCTAAGGAGCAAAATGTAAATGATTCCAGAGTCTATTCAGAATTCTGTGGAAGCTGTGTGACAAACTCAGTCATTAAAGACAAGCTGCAGGCTGCAATTAGAAAATATTTCAATGGCAAAGCACAGGGTATTTGTTCGACTGTGGTTTTACTCATTAATTCCTTTAACTTACTACAAATTGAGAAGACTGCTCTCAATATATTGAATTATTATTTTTTTAGGACAAGAACATTCCTTACTGTTATATTTGGATTTGGTGTTATTTACAGTGAACAATTCCTGTGTAAATAATGTAGCATAGACTGCTTCATACAGCTGTGTATAAAAAGTATTTTTTTTGTTTGATAATCCCAGTAGGATATTTTTATTTTAAATTTTTTTGTGACTCTGCTGCAAATACCTCATCTAAATAACACGTGGTAGAAAAAGGCAGATTTAAATGCTAAGAGAAAAAGTATGTGCTTAGTCAATAAAATATTTGATTGCTAAAAATGGCATGTTTTTGAAGGAAACCGGTTTCAAAGAACCACTTACTTAGCAAGAGACATGTCATGACTGATGATTAAAACAAATGGAATGCAGGAAATGTCCACTTCTTTAAACTTTCCAAACCTTTGAGTTTCTGTTGAGCATATTGGGATGTCTCAGGCTACAGTAAGTAATTGTTGATTGCAGTTAAATCCCTAGAAACTTCTTTGTATGTTATTCCCACCCCTGATCTTCCAGGGGTACCTGACTAATTTAGACTGCTGTGGGGAGAGCTGGAGTTGTGTTTTGTTCAGCAGTTACATGGAGACATGTGATCAGCATGGACACAAACCCCTGGCTTTGACACAGTGCCTGCACTGCCATTTCCACTGCTGTAAATTTACAGGATAAGTGTGAAGAGCAGCTGTGAACACTTAGTACCAGTTTTTTTGTAATCAATTGGCAACGTGCATAATGCCATTAAATCCAGTTATCTCAAGAATTCCATAAGGTATAGGCAAATCTTTCTCTCTTGCACATTCTTCTACCCCTGCCCCCAGTTTTTTAATTTCCAGCAGCCTGGATTCATAGCCAAAAGGTTTCCCCGACTTCCCCCACTGTATTTGCTCTTTCCTCGTGTGTACATCTGTCTGCATTCTTTTTTTATGCTACTCCTCAGAGGATGCAAAAGGCGGCTAAAATCAAGAAAAAAGCGGTGTGTAAACTGTTTTTCTTGAATGCTAATGTTTACTTACGTTTTTGTTGTTTTCCATGGAGTGTTAACATCTTTCATTATGGATCCTCATAACGTTGTCATTTTGGTTTCTTCTTTTCTAAGCAGTAGAATAGTGAATGGAGTAAAATGAACTCATTTTCTTCATTGTTGGTTTGCTGCAGTGCCTGTCTGCTGCCCTTCCTCTGTTGAATACCTGTCATTTGTTTAATCCAGCTACACAGCTACTGTCATCTGGGAGATTTTTCTGAATGTAATGCTTATTTTGGTTTTACTAACCAAAGCAGGAAGATGTATTTCCTGTGCCTGTGACTTACTGTATGTTTATTACTGTTGATATTTAAAACCAAAACCACATAGTAGCTGGAACAAGTCATACAGGAGACATTTCACTCAGTTAAAAACAAAACTTCAGTTAACTAAATGCAGTTGACAAAAATATCACTGAAAGGATGGGAGCAATACAAGTAATCTCTGCCAAAGTATGTGCCTACTGTGCCTTTTGCTGGATGAAAATTCAAATAGAATTAATCTGAACGAATTATAGGCACAGCTAATACTTTATAACTCAGAAAAAGAACAGCAAATATATTGTTCTTCCTCGAGCTGTGAAAGAAGCAGTGTCTGACCTGGGGGCTGCTGTCCCCTGCTCTGTGGCCTGCTCTCTAATGGGACATGGAATTGTTTCCCTGATGAGCAGTGCTCAGGGGTTGAGCACCAGAGGTCAGATGATGGCTGAGATATGAGAGAAATACTAGTTCAGTCCCTAATTCTTTATTTTCTAGGAAAAAATAAACTCAAAATCTAAAAAAGAACAGGCCTAACCCCCCACCCAGTACTGAGCATCAGCTGGCATTGTTCTTGGTCAGCTCACTGAGATGGCGAGGGCTGAGCAGCTGGGGGGGACTGAGTCCCTTCCTCAGTTCTGGTGCCTCAGGTACTGAACTGCATCAGTGAGGAAATGGGGAAAAACAGCCATACTTTTTCTCCTCTTCTGGCTATAAATAAAGATCTTCAATACTTGAGCTGTCAGTCACAGAGGCTCCAAAAATTCCCTCTTTCCCAGAAAATCAGAGTATGCTTCACTCCTTCTGTGCAGTAAATGTCCTCTTTGCATGTATTTAGAAACACCTCTGAATAGCCATCTCTCGAGTGGTTTAAAGTGCAGTTGCCTCACATCACGTTATGCTTGAAGCAGTCAGTGAATTTGTCATTCTAAAGAGAGAATTAAAAAATCCTCTTGTAACAAAGCATCTGTCTTTTAGACTTCAGAGGGAGATTCCCAGGCCTTGACTGAAGTGGATCTGTTCATCTCCACACAGAGAATCAAAGTTTTAAATGCAGACACACAGGTAAGTTGTGATTAAAACTCCTCAAAAATAAGGTTGAGTTAGACTCAGGATATGCACTTTCCTAAATTGGGATAAATTCACTGCTGTGAGAGTATTCAGAAATAGCTCCTGTTGTTGTAACACTGCAAATATAGTAATACTGACACCAGTTTTGCTTATTTGATGTAGTGGAAGATGTCTGCATGTTGCTGAGACCTGTCATTCGATTTAGAAAAAGATTCCCAAGTCTTTCAGAATGAATGCACACTGTTCCTCTGAAACAGCTTCAGAACCCAGATTTACAGCCCAACAGGGAAGTCTTTGCTGCCTTGACTAAGTCATTCATATCTTGCCCTTTTTAACATTTCATCTCTTCTTTTCCCCATAAATCACATCTGAGCCACCATCCTCCTGCTTAAGGTAAATTATTAGTTGTTCATATAAAAGGAGCATCTGGCAGTGATCAGCCTCATCTTCTAGGAATACTTCTGTATTCCACAAGAGGTGATCTTTGTAAGGACTTCTTTAAGGAATTTACAATTAAATAATTTGTAGATGGATCCCAATATTTAGTATCATAATCTCACAAGATCTCTTAGACTTTGATCATACTTACCTGAAGTCTTTAAATTCTCCTTCTTCTGAGGGGTATTGAAAAGGGAAATTTTAGTGATGTCTTTTTCTTTAGTTTTCACAAAGAAATTCCATTGTATGCAGTTGAAAAATTTTTAGACCTGAAGTTACACTAAAGAACAAACCACGTAGAAAGTTAAATTAGCCAAATTAGAAAATTCATCTTGTACTATTTGGAAAACTGGTTTGAGTATCTTACATTATCCTTTTAATGACACTCTTCTAGAATTAGGAAGTTATTATTTCTGTTTTGGGTTCTTTCTAGTAATAAAACAGGATTACAGTAAATATTTTAACTGGCAGAAAGATACCCAAACAAATGCTTTGTGTGAGTGGAGATGAGCAGGAGTCAGCACAGATTAGTCAGAAGTAAATCATGTCAAATCAATATTTACTTTTGTGATGGGGAAAATATTTGTCCATGGCACAGAAGCAGCACACACCACCTCTTGACTTAAATAAGGCTTTTATCTCATATATTTTCTAGATTATATGATCTAGGTACAAGAGATAGAAGCAGGTTAAATAATTTGTGTGTAGTTCTGTCATATATTGCCATTTATGTGGCAATATAAAGAGAAGAACACAGTGAGATTCACAAGCACACTTCTTGTCATAAGAAATTCAGTATTCAGTATTTTCATAAACAACTTGAAAGATGGAAAGAGAAAATGGTTCTTGAACTTGTATCTTGGTGTATAAGATCAGAGTTCAGAAATGTCATGGCTGGCTGAAGAAGTGAGCTAGAACTATAAGAGATACTTGACTAAAAATAAATGCAGCACTCTACATTTAGGATTTTGTTTTGTTTTCAATTAGTGTATAATTTGTTTTTCTGAGGGAACCATGAAGCACTTAGTTCTTCCTGAACTGTAGGAGAGCATTACTGTCCTTGAATGGGAGGGTAATGATAGTTTCTCCAGGAAATGGATTATTTTTCTTCTAACATAAGCGAGTGTCCTTAACATGCTACTAGAACTCCCAGGAGAAAGAGCCAGATGAGGAGTAGGATATCCCATCTAACATGGGCAGCAGTATTTACAATCATCTGAGATTGAATTTCATCCATGAAAAGCACTATTTGTTATGGCTCAGCCTTGTTTTGACCTTGTGGTAAATCTGCATCATCCAGAGTGTATATTAGCATTAGCAGAAAATAAAATGCTAATCAGTTTAAAGATGATTGCAGACAATTATTGGTAAATTAACAGCTACAGTTTATAGTTAGAATGTATGACAGTAAATAAGTAAGTTGTTTTTGTTGAGTAAGGATTAGTCTTGGTGGAAGTCACTCTTCTTACTTCTTTAAATAGTTCAACATTTCAGTTGGACACCAGTCCTTTTAAAAATAAAAATGCAAAGTCCTTTGAGGTAGACCTTAAACATTGTCAAAGAAACCATCATCTTGTTTTTCTGAATCCCTGAGATTTCTGGTGATGCAAAATGCAGTGCAGGGTGAGGAATGGTGTCTCTAGCTGTTCAACTAGATGAAAACAGTAACATTGGAAATTGTTATAATTCTGAGCTCTTTTGGTGTTTGCCCTGTTTTTTTGGGTTTGTTTTGGGTTCTTTGGGGTGGTTTGTTTTGGGTTCTTTGGGGTGGTTTGTTTTGGGTTCTTTAGGGTGGTTTGTTTCGAGGTTCTTTGGGGTGGTTTGTTTTGGGGTTTTGGTGGTGGTGGTGGGGTTTTGTTTGTTGGGTTCATTGGTCTTTTTTACAGTGCATCTTTCAGTGCTGTAACAAACCTATTCCCATGGCTTTTTAGCATTTTTGGCTTGGTCACATTTCTCAGTGCTAGTGAAGTTTCCTGACTGGTGTAATTGTCGTAGATTATTTCAGCTGGTGTGGCAGCTGGCAGAGACAATCTGTACTTTCCTGGCTTTGTCAATTATATAAAACCTATTTCTGCAGCGTGCCAAACGTGTTTTAATCCATCTGTAGTGTTGTACAGCTCACATGAGGTAACAGCTGATTCAAAATCTCAAATTCTCATTTAAAACATGCCATGCAGCAGGGTTGACAATGCTGGTGGCACAGTAAGGGGCACTGCCAGGCTGGAACAGGGCCGGTGGTGGTGATTCTGGTGCCCTCAGCAGCCCCAGGCAGTGGCACCCCTGCCACTTGTGGGTTGCTCAGGCACTGAGTCGGTGAATACATTCAGCCCAAGCTGAGCACCTGCTCAGGGTACTTGCAGTAGGACAGCTTTAGGTGTGGCCACGTGCCCTCTTTGTGAGGGACTCCTCGCTGTGCCACAGCTCACAGGCACCGCACAAACCCAGCAGGAACGCCACAGCAGCCTCTCCCAGCTCATTCAGGGGAGAAAAACCAGCAAAGAAAAGGAAAGATCTAGAGATCCCAAATGTGGATGTGCAGAGCCTCTGGTGGGTGATTGGTTCCATGACACTGTGTGAGTCATTGGGCTGTCTCAGTCACACTCCCACGGGACGACATCACTTGAAAGCTGGGGAGAACGCCAAGCTTGTCTCCTTCAGGAGGTCTTTGGGTTTCAAGAGATGCAACAAACAGGATTCTAAAAGAATTCCTTAGGAGAAAAATGGAGATTCTGGGAGCAAGGGGAATCTGGACAGTGGTTTTGAAAAAGGCTGAGAGAGTCTGAATTACAGTCACTAGATAATGTTTGCCTCATTCCTAATTGTAATTGCACTAGACAGGAAAAACTAGACAGGGGGAGTGCTGGGGGAATGATTTCTTTCACCCCAACAGGGGGAAAAAGAAAAAAACTCTTTTGAGTAACTTCTGTGTGATGATATGGACAGAAAGACTCTCTTGGCAGGTGAGATTAAAGGCCTTCATTTTCCCAGCCCACCCTCTCTTTGCACCTTTACACAACAGTGAGTGCACGCTGCTGACAGGCAGTTATCTCTGCAGTGCTGCCAGGGTCCTGCTGAGAGCTGTCCATTATCAAACGTTTCTCCATGCTGACAGAAGTGCTAGAAATCCTCCTGAGCCCCTGCAGCCCTGAGAGACACCCCCAAACCATCTCCTAACCATCTTGGCATACTCTGGGGATAAGCACAGGACATTTCATGTCAAGCCTGAGAAGAATCATTACAACAATTTTATAGGTAGTGATTATCTTCAGTAAGACAGGTGGTTCCAGGAAACAGTGGTAATTTGTATTTTTCTGTATCAAGTTAAATTGTACTGCAATTCTTAAAACAGTTACTTTTGTTAACTTGAGGAGCAGTCTTTCTTCTTAGGCCTTAAAAAGTTGTTCAACTGATGATAAACTAGTGCCAAGCTGTTTACATAAAGAATGCTGCTGCTTAGATAAATTATTAAAAAATGTGAATTATCTTACACAACATTTTTAATTCAAATCCAGGCAGAATTTGGCAGACATTTTTAACTGTTCAGGGTGAGGGACAGGGATGCTCAGGGTGTATCCCCAGCTGGTTTGGCCAATAAAACTAGTATTCTTCTGATTGTTTCTAGTTTGAGCACTACATAAAAGTCTGGAAAAACTCTCCAAACTGACCAGTAACCCCAGCAAGGAGCAATTTTCAGATGGGCTTTTTCTGGTTTTTAAGGAGCATCTTTACAGGGGCAAAATGTTTTAAGAAATGATAGAAAACAAAGCTGATGCCATGGTTTGGAGGCACTTGCTTGGCCTTTGTTGCAATAGAAGGCTTTATCCTAGGCTGATCACTGCAGCAATATGTCACATGCATTGTTTTATTAAAATAACAAACATTATTTTACATATTGAGCCATTTACATGTTGAGCCATTAATTCTGAATTCAGAAATAATAAAACTTTACTACCAGTTTATACTTAATAGAGCACAGAAAGTGTTATAAAAAGTCCTTGAAGGTCCTTCCTTCTGGGACCCCATTGCTCTTTTATATAAGAAACCATTGATAGAAGCATAAACTGGAGATAGAAACAAAAGATGAAATAGTAATAGCTGGAATAAAGTAAGTTTAGTGCCAACTAAACTGGATTATCTGGCTACAGATACACACTTAAGTTTTCATTGTCCAAGGTAACTCAGTCGAAGCCACTGAATAATGATATATTATTCCCAGGAGAAAAACATTTGAAAGGAGGAGGTTGGGATTTCCCTGCTAATAGCAGAAATTAAGAGATTAAAAGGCTAAAGTAATTAAAAAGATGCAGAGCTCAGGGATTTGAGGCAGAGGCTTTTTCAATTTAGTCCTCTGTAGGTGTACTTATATGAGAAATGTTCATTAGGATAGAGCTTAGAGAGGTTTTCACTTAAAATCATTCTCACAGGCATTGGCTCTGGTGAGTTGAGTTCTCCCAGCACAAGCATAAGGAGCAGAACAGGATTCTGAGTGTGAGCCAAGACACAGAGCAGTTCCCTCCAAATGGCTTTGAGAGGTGCAGGTAGCTAAAAAAGTGTTTAAAACAGTTCTGCCTACAGAGAAGGTGGAATATTGCCTTCATAGCTCTTTACAAAGGAAGTATTGCTTTGCTTTATGTGAGAAAATGTTGCCTTAGATATTATTGCTATTATAGGATATGATTTAAACACCCAGGACATCATAACATCTTCTCTTATCTCTATGATTTTCATAAAGCTTGTTCTGTCATTGTGACATGCATCTGTTTCATTCAGCAAAACCAAAAAGGGAAACAGAATTTTCCAACAGCGTGAAAATATCTACAAAACAGTGGTATAGTTCTTCATTATTACTTTATAACCACAACCACATTCCATTTCCTGGGGCAACACTTCCACTGCAGCCATGAACAGCCACACACACACCTTCCATGGGAGCTCAGGGCAACACTTCCACTGCAGCCATGAACAGCCACACACCTTGCACAGGGAGCTCAGGGCAACACTTCCACTGCAGCCATGAACAGCCACACACACACCTTCCATGGGAGCTCAGGGCAACACTTCCACTGCAGCCATGAACAGCCACACACTGTCCATGGGAGCTCAGGCCCATCGGCTGCACAGGGCATATCAGCTCTGGGCCCACAGAAAGGGCTTCTGAAGCTTCTGTCGTTCTCAGGCAACAGGCCATAAGGGAGAGGGAAGGTGCAGTGTTTGCAGAGCAGCAGGAACCCACTCTGGTTGTCCCTGCAGGAGACGATGATGGACCACGCGCTGCGCACCATCTCATACATCGCCGACATCGGCAACATCGTGGTCCTCATGGCGCGGCGCCGCATGCCCAGGTCGGCTTCCCAGGACTGCATCGAGACCACACCTGGGGCCCAGGAAGGGAAGAAGCAGTACAAGATGATTTGCCACGTCTTTGAATCAGAGGATGTAAGTCAATGGAATTAAATTTATTTGAATGCCATATGTCATATAGAGAATCTCTGAAGTCAGAATTAATTTATGGGATGTCAGATTGTTCATTCATCCTGGATTAGGTGACCCTGCCCTTAGTCCAGCAGGTTGGCACATAAGGACCTGTGTATTTTCATTTGCATCAGAAATACTAAAAGGTAAAAGAACCTGGAGCCATTCTCAAAGCAGGATTGCAGATGTAGTGGTTGCAGTAGAGTTCTGTACATCTCTGCTGTTCCTCCTGTTTCACCGCTGGGAAAAAGCCCTGATGCACCATCCCAGTCCTCTTGTGGCAAAGGAAGGTGACCTTGCTTTACTGCTGTTATATATCCAGGTTTGCTTTTGTAGCAAAGTAGATACTTGTGTCTGAAGTGGGAGACCTGGGGACTTCAGCCTAAAACATTTTTGGAAAAATATACTAAGCTTAGTAAAACAAAGAGCAAAATTTGTTGTCTGTTTCTAACTTGACAGTAAGAGGCAGTACTAAACATTTCTCATCATTATTATATGGGAACAGATTTAAGTATCATTTCTGTCATACCATTTAAAAATAATTGAGTTCTGTGGTTCAGATAGCAACTCACAGGTTGCGTATTTTTGAGCTGAGCAATCATTTTCATTAAAGTAATTAAGCCTGTGAAGGAGAAATGGAATTGTATAAAGGTTAGAGTGCCAGACTGGGTTGTTCTGAGACCTCGTTATCTCAGCTCTGCCACTGCTCTGCTGGGGTGGCCTATTCAAGCAGCTAATTCCATTATCTCTAAGTTGTGCATGATGCTGAGGACTCTCCTAAGCAGTCACAAGCCCTTGGAGGTACAGATGAAATGAAGATGTGAGAACCAGCTGTTAGTAGCAGCAACAGAATAAAGTGTGACATGTGGAGATGCTGGTTGTGAGAATGTAGAATGGAGGCAGATGCAAAGGACCAAGTACAGAGAGAGCAGTGGCACTGGGGGTCAAAGAAGTCAATAAGGACTGTCGATAAACTTTAACAATGAAATGATATGAAAAAGTTCTGGATTATTCCTGTGCCACCATTACCACAAACCTCTTGCTATAGTGATAAGATTTGAAAACATGTTTTAAAAGATGAAAAAACAATTTGTGACTTGCTAAGCTATTTATGTCCTTGATTTCCTAAAATCATTTTCCAGTCAGATCTATTGGTGCTTTTGTGTACTGCAGCACAAATGAAATAAGAAGACCATCTTTTAGCATCAAAGAACATACCTGATCAGTAGATTGTAAGAAGATACCCATTTCTAATGCTGTCCAGAAAACCCTATGCATTTGTAATGCATTTGGCATGTACCTACTGTCTAAGAAGGTGTGTTGCATTGCCAGAATAAGGGTTTGATTAGTAATGTTTTCCTGGAGTTCCATTGTAAGATGCAATTAACTTCTCCTGTCACTAGGACTTACTCATATCCCTGGATGACAGAATTCAGTACCCAAACCCCACAAATATACAAAAGTCAGTGTGGCTGCAGTAAACTCAAATAGGGGAAAAAATAATTCAGGTGTGGAAAAACTGGAGTAGAGATTCCTTTTCCTGAGCTCTACTCTGTGGCTCTGTATTCTCTTGCCATCTAGTGGAATGTGCAGATAAGTGCTCCAAAATTTAAGAAAGATGGGGTATTTTGGGAAGGTGTTCTCAACAGTAGCAAGCACTAATCATGGCTCTGGCTGCACTCCTGAAATCATCCCTGACGTTGCCAGTGAGGTGTCAATGGAATGGCTGTTCTGGAGGTGCAGTGGGTAAGGAGGGGCAGAACTGCTTTGCTGGGAATAGGAGAGCAGAGGGTTCTGTTGGAGCAGCGTTTCCAGTCCTATAAAACCAAGGTGCAGAAACAGCAGGTGACACAGCAGCTAAAACCATCAGTGCACAAGGCTTGTGAAAGCAGAGCACCCCTTCTCTGCTCACTCCTGCACAGACTGTGCTCAGGAGCAGGCTTTGTGACAGTCCTGTCCATGAGCTCTGCTCCATATTGGCCCAAGGCCAGCACTCTGCAGTGTTGATTGGAAGGAGTACATGGACAGCATATGGCTGCTTGCTGCTGAAACACACTGATGGAGGAGATCAGCAGGCTTTGCAATGGAGTTTGCAATCTGATTTTGGATGTAATGGATTCTTTCCATACAACAGACCTTGAAGTGACTTTATATCCATGCTAATGCAGAAGCTTTGCAGAATCCTTTATTTTGAGTGTTTTCAATTGCAGTCCCTCCCCTGGTTTCTCGTGGTTTCTGTGGTAAACTGTTTCTCCACCCTTTGTCTGAGCTGTGCCTTGTTCTCCACTGCAGGCACAGCTGATTGCTCAGTCCATCGGTCAGGCTTTCAGTGTGGCTTACCAGGAGTTCCTAAGAGCCAATGGGATCAACCCAGAGGATCTCAGTCAGAAAGAATACAGTGACATCATCAATACCCAGGAGATGTACAATGATGATCTCATACACTTCTCCAACTCAGAAAACTGCAAAGAGGTAAACTGATTTTGGAATTTCATTTCAGATTGATCCATTTTTTTGTCATTCTTGGCATTATTAGGACAGTGTTAGAATTTTAAGATGTGTGGCTTCATCAGTACTATTGCTACAAGTCTCAGCTTTATAAGTTATTAGAATTTCGTGTTTTCATTTTCAGGGCCTTTCTCTTTCCATTGATCAGAAGGGTAATAAAGTATATTTACATGTGATGTAGATAAGCTCTGCTGTTCCCAGTACACAGTGCAAGGTGATTTTATGTTTTACCCAAGCATTGATATCCAGAGAGACGACAGAGCTGTGGGATGCTGGTTGGTTCAAAGCCTTAATCAGTAGTCTCAACAAAAGACAGCTGGCCATCATAATTCCTGTAAGTAGGGGTGTCCCTGTCCTTCCACATTTGAAAGAAAATAATTCCCAGTATTTTGTTAAAGAGTGTGTTCTCTAGGGAAACCCTTACTCCACTTCTGTAACTGCTGCAGACATTCCTCTGGCTGCAGGGTCCAGGGGCAGAAACTTCTGCAGCTTTTGTTCCCTTGCTATCCAGTTCCATCACTTCTAGAGAGTTAACCAATATGTGTTCTACTTATCATAAGGACCTATAGGACCTCCAACAAATTAGTATAACCCTGGAAAGAAATAGGTATTTATGTGCTGCACAGTTTTAACAATGTTTGTGAAGTCCTGCTACAGAGAATGGAGTCTGTTTTGTGATTTGCAGATGTTATTCAGGAACAGAGATAGTCATGCTCAAATTTAGACAAATCAAAGCAAAAAAATTTTTTTTTTCTTTTTAATTGCAGCTCCAGATAGAAAAACAGAAGGGAGAAATTCTTGGGGTAGTGATTGTGGAATCTGGATGGGGATCCATTCTGCCCACCGTTATCCTGGCTAACATGATGAATGGAGGCCCTGCTGCCCGCTCAGGAAAACTAAGCATTGGAGACCAAATTATGTCCATTAATGGTACCAGTTTAGTTGGCCTACCTCTTGCAACATGCCAAGGGATCATAAAGGTACCCCTGAATTCACAACTTTATCTGTAGATTGTAAGCCATTAGAAACAGAACCTTCTGACGAGATCCAGCAGGTGGTCTTTCATATCACTGCAAAAACCCCAGTAATCTGTAATTAAAAAACAACCAGAATTAAAAATGGAGATTCAGGAGTGATAATGTACAGAAATTTAGGGCTGGAGAGTACAACTGCAGCTTTCTTACTGGGCTATAAGAAAAAGGCCAGGTCTGCCTCAGTTAAGTTACTTGGCTGTGTTCAAAGCTTCAGGCTTCCCCACAGCCTCCAGAATAAAATCTGAGGGTTAAAATCTCCTCTGCTTTCTTGGGCTCCATGCAGATAAAGTGGATGGAGGCTGGTAAACTGCAGCACTGATCAAGTGAGTTTATGAAGATTGCCCAGACACAATGGAATCTCAGAATGCATTATCTTTAGTCATGGAGACTAAATCTGATGTCTGTGCATATTTACCAAGAGCAGCAGCAGGAGATTAATTAGCCAGGTGCCAGTGAAGGGGAAGCAGTAGTCAGTTTTAGTTTTTCTTGAAAACCTTCTTCAAATTTCTGTAGTAATTAAAGGCGAAATTTTGATTTTTTGGGAGGGCGAATATCTTGGGAAATAAATAAGAGAAATCTATCTCTTAAATTAACAACAAATTTCTACTAGCTCTAGCTGTTCTGCCTTTAAGATTAGCTGCTTTACATTCTTGCAATTAGGAAATCACAAATGAGAGCAAATTAAGATCCATTTCAGGAAGACTAACTTTTGGAATATGTCACAGGGGCTCAAGAATCAAACACAAGTCAAGCTGAACATTGTCAGCTGTCCTCCTGTTACAACTGTCCTCATAAAACGGCCAGACTTAAAATACCAGCTGGGCTTCAGCGTACAGAATGGAATTGTAAGTTTCTCTGTTCAGTCACTGCTTTGGTTTTTTCCCCTTTCCTTTGTTTTTCCCTTTCAAGAAGCACACTGAAGTACTGAAAAAAATTGTGCACAATCTCCCCTCTTATGTTGTGATCCCTTTATTTATATAGATATCTTATAATCACATCTCTGAGTAATAGAACCCAAATGGACAACACAGGAAGAACATTCTTGAGGGATTTTCCTGTATAACAGAGCCACAAGATTTATAGTCCAGATTGTTTGGTGCAACATGTGGATCAGCTAATTCATGTGTAACTGTTATTAGTGTGCCAGAGTTGCAAGGAAAAGTTAGGCTGGAGCATGTTTTTACAATTGAGACATTCTAATCTTAGCTCTGATCCTGTTTCTTTTTTTTTTTAAATTTCAGCACACACTCACTAAGACTTTTAATTTTTCTTCTGCTGTACATAATTTATTTGGAGCACAAGGTAGTAGGCAAGGGAATGTAATTGTGACCTTCTCTTGTTAAAACTAACCACCTCTCACTACGAGTAATTGCATAGGTTGTGGCCCAGGTACCCCTTCTGTGCATGCTGCAGCTTCCCTGTAATGACAGCAGAAAACAGGAGAACAAATGTGGCAGGTAAGACTTACCCTGTGCAGCTCAGGACCCTCCTCTTGCAGCTCTTCCTTCCCAAGCCCTTCTCCAATCTCTTTCCAAAGCAAACTCCCCACTCAGCAGGCTCAGGCAGTCACTGGCCTTTCTGGGGGCTGAGATGAGCATTAGAGATTGTCTGGAGTGCAGGACCATCACCAGCTCATCTTCCTCCAGTCTAGAAAAAAAAAATAGTGCAGCTGCTCCCACAGAAAACCACCTCCCAAAGCACTGTGGGCTCTGCTCCCCTGTCCGTGAAACTCATCAGTTGGAGTTGCCAGATTTCTGTTTGCCACTCTTGGAAGAGCAGCAGGTAACTGTACAGGATGTGGTTTGTGGGTCTTACTGCACCTGAGCAAACAGATGGCTCAGGAGGGGGTTTCAGCTCTGGCCATCTCTAAGTTATTACTGTACCTTAGTGTGCTGACCTGAGATCCCATCTCACCTTGTGGTCAGCAGAGATTGGTGTAAAGAACAGCATTACAGGTCTTGGTGCAGCTGGGAGCACTCCAGAGTGACACCTACCCCAGGTTAACACCCTTTAGAAATGGAGGTTTAGAGTAGTGTCATGTGTGGGAGTGGAGAAAAATCAGGTGTGTGGTGTATTTTTGTCCCCTCTGCCTGTGCATAATCATGTGTATATGAAGTGGGTGTGGTTATTGCTGGTAGTTCACTCTGTGTTAGCAAATCCCAAGTCTTGGTGTAAGAAGGATGAAAGGAGTCTGTGACACAGTCTATTCATCTTGTCCCAGCTAATCAGCTCCTACCTAACTGGAGTCTCAGTTCAGTAAATTCTGCAGACTCTGGTTGTTTTCTGTCCTAGTGTGCTCCATCTACTGGCTTTGTCTTAGTCACCACACTGGAGGACCATCATTAATTCCAGGTAAATGAGTGACATTTAGATGACACCCAATATAAAGTTCACTAAATTCTGCATAAAAATAATTTTCAGCTGGAAGAGAAAAAACCCTTGTAATGCATTCCCTTTATGAAAAGTCTGTGTTTGAATATAAAAATCAGTGAACCACAAGTGGAGATTAACATCTTTTATTAGGCTGCTATATAGACAAGCATCTGAGCCTGTAAAATCCTTCCTCTTACTTAACGTGTGAAAATATGGCTCTGCAAAGCCACTCTCTTGCAGTTGGGCACTGAACTTCTTAAAAGCAGTTTTGTAATTGCCAGCAATTGTTACAAATTGGGATAGGATTCAGAAATGATAATATCGTTATTTTTCATTGGCTCAGCATTAGCACAGCAAAGAAATAAATGGCTTGCCAGCGTGGATATGATTAAATGTCTCTCACTGGTATGCCATTAGCTCATTATCCATGCAGCTGTGCATCCTGAGAGCAGCTTGTTCACCCTGCCTGTCTCATCTGCACAGGGGGTACAGCTGTGGTGTCAGGGAGGGGCCGTAAATGACCTGCACACGCAGCAGCACTGCCTGCGCTGGCTCTGCCTGCACAGGATGTCAGGCAGCTGCAGACACTAGGCTGCTGCAGGTGACTGGTTTTTCTGTGTTGGGTACAGTTTAATCAATGCAAAGCCTGAAGTTGTGCTCCATGGAGCACTGGCAGTGCCAGCTTTTGGAAGTTCTAGTTAGGGAATAGCACAAAGCATAAACCAGAATGGTAATTTTGCAAAATTCCTCTTGTACTAGTGATGCAAATTCTCTTACTGGTTCTTGAAAGTTACTGATGTAATTTTGTTGCATAGTTATAAAAAAGACTCTAGAATTTGAACAGTAAAATATTAAGGAAAAGAAACATAGTGCATACATATGAAACAAGTATGACTGTTGTGGATGGGGAGGTGAACATAAGATGACCTATCAGCCACCTTCTGAAAATCATTATGCTACACTTCTTTTAAAATGATGTTGCTTAAATACAAGTGGTCATCTTGTATCACATTCCCTAGGCTGTGAAAAATCTGTGTACTGCTGGTTATATTTGTAATGCTGATAAAGTACCAGTTCTCAGTCCAGCTCTCAGACTGAGATCTTCTTTCTCTAAGAAGCACATCTTCCCTGTCCCTGGCCTAGCACAATTCTATCTAAAATACAGTAAAACTAGATAAAACTTGACACAACAGTTTGTTCCTTCTTCCCTGCCTTTGTTTATTATAATTTAAACTGTGGAAAAATGTACAGGGGTTAAATAGCATGATATAGGAGGGAGATGAGGAGAAACCTGGTTTAATAGATTATGGTAAAGGCATTTACAGAGGATAAACAGTTTGCCCAGCACTACTTGATGCTTTGCTACACGATGGACAGTTGCAACAAAACTGTGAAGCTACTGAATTTTCCATCTGATGTTTTGCAGCTTGTCTAAGACACTGCAAATCTGTAATAGTGGAACAGATTGAACCAGTGTGGTTTAAACATTTTTTTTTTTTTAATTTTTATTTTTATTTTTATTTCCTTCAGTTTACACAGTCAGTAGAGGGTAGACTCTTGCTTACAAGAAGATCCAGATCTGTCTTGCTTTATCTAATAATATTACAGCTGTTGCCATGTTCAACAAACAGAGCACGTTAAAGAGTCCTGGCTGATTAAAATCATATTTACTTAGTGGTACTGCCCAGTTTAAACTTGTCAGCCTGATGTGCCATGAGCTCCACTGGCTGGAGACAAAACATTTAAGGTTGCTCTGAGTTGGCTCCTTGCAAATGTATTTACAGTGTTTCTTTTGGTACATGCTGCTTTTGTCCTTCCTGATTACTGCACACAATCCCCACAGCAAGGAGCAAACTGCTGTTCCAGGGAGCTGAACTGAGCTTGCTGTGGAAGAGAAGATCTCTGTAGTACCATGTGTCTCGTCAGGTGTACGATTAGCAGGTAGACTACCTGCAAAACATGTTGTATGTGAGTGAAACTCCAGACACAGTTCTGTGAAGGGTCTGATGGTGCCTCTATCCATGGGAGCCCATCAGAAACACTTGAAGAACCAAAGCAGGTAACACTCAGCCACTGGAGATTGCACAGTGCAGATAAATCTCACTGCAGGAGGAATGTTTTTTTCCTGAACGCTGAGAAAGGCTTTTTATAAATGAAGAATAACTATATATTTTCACTCCCCATATCAGTCTGAACTTGGAGTAAAGAGGGATTTCATTTTTTATAGCATTGTTATTTGTGAAGAGGAATTTCAAGAAAACTAGTGACGTACAGAAAAGGATTCCAGTCAACTGTAGAAAATGCTTCACCTTCAGTACATCCCAGATTGGCCATCTCCCCACATCCCGTGCTTCTGAATTAGATTCCCAGCTCACTGGGACACAAGCCACATCTTACCATGCTTGTATTTAGCTCTGAGCAAATGACCAGATCACAAATCAGAATTCTTGGCATATAATTCTAACCATTGACAGTAACTGCAGGAACAGCCATTATTGGGTGCTCCAGCACTCATTTCTTGCCCTCCAAGAATAGTTTTTTCTCGGTAAACAAAAGGTAAATCTCAGCACTGCTAAACTCTGCTTGGTTCCAGAGATTGTATGCCTTATGTGATGCATGAGCTTTAGTCATCTCAAGTGACTGAGCAGCCCTTTCTGTGAATTCACAGCTGTCCAGTGTCCCACACACAGTGCCAGGGAGGATCCTGCTGCTGAGGAGGGAACAGTCTGGTAAATTCCCTGGACTGGAATGAGATTTTTCTTTCTGCCTGCACCTTACACACATTGCAACCCCAGAGTGATTTAAGTAGCAGTGTCTGCTGGGACTTTTGTGTGGTGAATGTAACTCTCCTTGTAGAATTATTCCCCTGTTGTGCAGGGCATGAAATTCAACACTTGTGTGCAGTTCTTTCCTGGCCCCTCAGCTGGCAGAGCTCCTGTGGCTGCAGCACTGCGTGCTGGGGAGCAAAGCGTGACCCTGGGGGGCAGAGCCCCTTCCATTCTGCAGAGGCGCAGAAACAGGAGGGCATAATTGTCTATTGAGGACAGCCTGTACAAACAAACACAATCTGCACATTGCAGAGACTCACAGAAAGGTTTGGGTTGAAAGGGACTGTGAAGATGAGCTTGTTCCACCCCCTGCCCTGGGCAAGGACACCTTCCATCAGCCCCGTCCAACCTGGCCTTGGACACTCCCAGGGATCCAGGGGCAGCCACAGTTTCCCTGGGCACCCTGTGCCAGGGCCTGCCCACCCTCATCATAAGGAATTTCTTCTTTAGATCTTTGAAATAGATCTTTCCTTGTACCTTCCTAATATCTTTGTGACCCCTGTGACAGATGCCAGCTTTCAGGACAGAGTGTCTGTATGCCAGCTTCCTTCAGCCTAAACTAGCATTTGTGCAGGGTTAAGGATTAAACTTTATGTCAGAGGTTTTTTTCCATGTGAAAAAAACTGCTGTTGTAGATTAGATTTTACTTTATCACTTTTTATATTTTCCAGTATACAGTCAGAAATATTTTTAAATCACTTTCTTCTCCTGGTCTGGCAGTGGATAAAACTTTTCCCCACTATTGCGTGGCTGCCACCTGTGTCACTGTGATACTTTTATGTTCTCAGCCCAAGAGAATGAAAATGGAAACTGTAATTAGCAGAAATCCTGAAAATAACCCAAACCTTGACAAACCATCAGCCCAGCATTTAAAGACTCACAGTATTGATGAATACTTTCCACAAGCATCTTTTGGAATCCTTATGGTGTCCCCACTCCTAAGGGATTAATTCCCAGTAACTGTTCCATTACGCTATCTCTGAGGTTCAGTAAACTTTGCTTTCTCTTGGCAGATCAGCAGCTTGATGCGAGGTGGGATAGCAGAGAGGGGAGGGGTCAGGGTGGGCCATCGCATCATCGAGATCAACGGCCAAAGCGTCGTTGCTACGGCTCACGAGAAGATCGTGCAAGCACTGTCCAATTCAGTAGGAGAGGTAAGGAGGCAAATATTTCATCAAGGAATTAAAATAGGTGGGAAAATGTATATTTCAGTTGAAAAGAGTGTCTTAACATAGCCTTAAAACTAGCCCCTCAGTTAGGCCCTAAGGAGGAACAACAAACCAAACATTTTATTTAACAATTAGATGCACATTCACTGCACTTTTTTCCATTCATTTTCAAAAGCTCCTGGCATGATTCTGTGCCTTCAACCTACTGTTTGAATTAAACCAGTTGATTAAAAGAATAAATCACTCAAGCATGTTGGCTATGAAATGTCTCTTGGTTTATCCCTACAGTATCTGCCATAAAAATAAATTGAAATTCAAAGGGCTGAGAGATATAAATTGATAATACATTTTAATTATTTAATGTCCAGACTTACTGTGGGAATAAGCCAAGACACCTCTTTCCAGAGAAAGATTTCTCTTTTTCTAGAGAAATCAGCAACAAATGAGCAAGATCCCCCAGGTTATGAAAATCCCTTCTGAGTGTAGTGGTAGTCTCATACACAGCCCTGGCCAGATCTCCCACGAGTTCCTCTGCCAAAAATTAAAGCAAGGTGGTTTCCTTGTGGAAAGTGATAGTGGAAAAATAATACCAGGCATGTGCAGGTTGCCAGGAGCAAAAGTGCCCCTCTCACCACTCACCTTTCTGTCCTCTCTGCTGTGTGATCTCCACCAAACAGAAGAGGACAGCATGGCACTGTTTTACAGCATGAAGAGAAGATGATGTCAGGGCAGCACATGGCTGGTGAGGGTCCACATTATCAGTCAGTCGTGTCCTTTCCTTCCTCTTGTCTGGTGGGTACTCACAGCCTTAGTACAGTCCTGACAGAACCCCGATTAACTGAGCCTAAACCCCTTCATCTGTAAAATCCCAGCACTCCTGGCAGAAGGAACTGAAGTACAGGAGCCCCAAGAGAACCAGTTCCACCAAACCTTTGGTTGGCATTTAAACATCAGGTGGTAAAGTCCATGTTTTGTGTTCAGAGGATCATATTCCAGTCAGGAGAAAATCCTTCTGAAATGACATTCCCACAGGGAAGGAGGGTAGAATAAAAACCTAAGTTCAGTTAATATCAGAACAACAGAATGAGTTTTCAGAGAGGTTTGTGCTGCTGCTTCCTTAAGGGTTGTTATTGGAGTAGGGTGTAACAATAGAAAGTGTTTATGTGTCACAGAGCGTTGCATCCTGTCACTGTCATCAATAAATAATAAAAATACCCCCACAAAAAAGCAAAGACAGTGAACTAACACCTTGAAATCAGAGAACTTTGAACTAGAAACTCTGGTAACACTCACATCTGTAGAAACCAGGACAAAAAAAGCACTTAGAGCACAAGGAGAGAAATGGGGCCTCATGGATGATGTTAAACGAGTAACAACGGTGTTAATTTGTGTGTAATCAATTGACAGATACACATGAAGACTATGCCAGCAGCCATGTTCAGGCTTCTAACCGGGCAGGAGACCCCACTGTACATTTAGCATTTTCCATCCAAGCTGAAGCTGTCACAGCTGAAGAGAATTTTGTATTTTGTATGAATGAAAGGCTGGAAGCTGACCTGAGGACTCCAGAACAAGGAACACACAGGTGGCTTTGCTTCTCTCCTTTCTATTTCTATGACAAAAAGTGTTGAGAAGGATGGTCCAGGACAATAATCACTGACAAAAATCTTTGTAAACACTGAAGTATTTTGCAACATCTTCTAAATCCTTTTCTCATGGAAGTTAGAACATATTTATTTGTAACCTTTACGTGGAGTGATGTATGTCTGTCTTGTTTGATAACACAGTGAATGTGAATATTTGATGAATGAGACTGCAGGAAATGGCAAAGAGAAGCAATTAGAGAAAGTTCTGGCTGCCTCAAGTTAAAAAAAAATCCCAGTCCCATAAAGTGGTCCAATACTGATGACTTTGCATAATTTTAAAACTGGTGCTGAATAGGTGGTATTTCAGTGGAAGGGAATGCGTGCAGTTCAACCTTTTAGATTCTCATGTAAAGAAAACCACTGTAGTACTTGGTATTGTTATGACAAGTGTAACCTGTTTGGCAAGGTGTGAACATAAACATGTAACAAGTGTTTCATATGCTAAATAAAGAATAATTGCCACAAGATTAAAATCAAAATATTTATTTAGATACATATTTATTTTTAATGCTTGTGATTTTATGATTTAACAGAGTTATTTCATGGATAACTTATTGCACAGGTTGTGTACTGTATGTGTTGGGCTGGGGTTTTTTTTCCTTTAATTTTTGCATATTACTTTTTTGTTCATAGTAGCTCAAATGGGAAAGCCATGCTTACCTGTTTCTGTCTTTTATAAAGCATTCTAATTCCTAAGGCAATGTGTTCTGAATGTAAATTGTTTTGACAAATAACCTAGCACCATCAGCAGTATTAGAATGTGTGTAGATAACAAACCTAGTAGTAAAGTTGTATTCCTTCTGAGATAAATGTTCATTGGTGTAACTTTGTCGAATTTTTTTCCTTTCGGCCAAGGCCTTGAAGAAAATACACTGTGACTTAAGAAGCCTTACCATGCAGTAACTAAAGAGCTTTAGATGACTGTACTTTGAGGAGTAGTGTGTTGCATGCAACTGACCTTAGGAAAGAATTAACCTATCATTAATAAATCTGAAATAAGAAAGGAAGCTTGCTTATTCTGTTTGTTGTGTAAGTTTACGTAGTAAAAAAATCCAAGTAGAAGATTCATTTAATTCTTTAATCTAAGTGCAGTTGCAAAGGTCACAGGTTAATTTTTAAAAGGGAATTCATCTCTTGAATTAGGAATTTGGATATCATTATTATCTTGAGAGTAGATGCTTTCAATCAGCAAACCTTGTTGCCACTGGATGTCACTGTAACTTCACATCAATGCAGGAGCGTGCTCTAATTAAAATACATTAAAATGGATGATTCTATAAAACTTAAAACTACCCATCTTCAGCTACATTCCTTTGTGACCTTTTCACAGGATGTCTGCCCAGCTCAGAGTGACACAAATGAGACCAGTATAAGATTAAAGCTCAGATGGAAGGTAACGCTGCTGACAAGCACTGCTGCAAAACAATTAACCCCCTGAAACACCAACCTGGGGTAGGTTCTTTATGAGAACCTTTGGTTTAAGGCCTTTCCAGTTTCCTCTGAGAGAGCCAGGATGAAGCTTGCACTGGAAGACGTTGCTGGCAGACCTGTGTTTATGCTGGTAATCAAATTAGTGTTGATGACATTTACTTTTTGATATTTTTTTTAAGATCAGTGTTAAATGAATCATAAACACAGCAAAACCACAAGGACATGTTTTAGCAGTAAAATTGTCAAAAACTACTAACTGGAGTAAAAATTTTTTTGAAAAAACATTCAAGGCTCTGCTAGATAAAAAATCATCTAAATTGCTGTCCCTTGGTGTTGGCAAAAAGTTTGTGAAAGGCGCTTTTTGGAAATGCAGAATTTCAAAGTCTCCTTCCCTAATGCATCTTTTGGCCACACAGCAGAGTAATGAAACAGCAGTTCCCAGTCCCAGGGACTGCTGCAGGAATGAACTCACCAGCATTCGGAACAACGCAAAAATAAACGGCAGCCATTCCTGGGGGTTAAAAGGGCAACACTGGGGGGTGGGGAGAGGAGTTTTAATCAGACAGATCAGTTAGTCTGAAATGAAGGACGGTGGGAAAATGGCTTAGAAGCAGCACTGTTATGTGTGTGTGGATCCCCTTTACATTCCTATCCAAATCAGCTGTTGAAAAAGCAAAGTCCAGAAATACTTTTTATTGAAACACTGACAAGAGTTAAAACACTTTGAGGTACATGAAGTAAATACAACTTTTAAGTTGTACGGCCAGTCTCTGGTGGGTTTGCAGTGGTGTTCCAGAAATGCTGGGCAGCATCAGCAGCATTTCCCTAAGTACAGTGACAAACGCATTTCTGGTTGGGAAAACACTTGTTATGACTTAACTAATAAATCAATTAAAATTTTGCAAAAATCAAGGCTGAAATTTACATTCAGAAAAACAGCTGTTCTCATCCTGCTGTTGGAAAGAAGTGGTATTCCAAGGGAAGACACTTTTTTCCTTTTTAAGTCCTCCACTACTTGTATTTGTCCCAGTTGTGGTTTCTTCCACACTCCTCTGCTGGAGCCACGTACCTGGGAAGTTATCAAAGGATGGTCTCCCTGGAGCCACGTACCTGGGAAGTTATCAAAGGATGGTCTCCCTGCAGACTCCAATCAAACTGTGGGGCCGGTCCCGCTGGGAACTCCGGGACAGGCGGGCCCTGCGTGGGAAGGCACCAGGCGAGCTCAGAGCACCACAGCTCTGCAGGTGAAGGTCCTCCCAGAGCCGCTTCCTGGAGGGATTCACGTTCTGCTGGGAGCTCCTGATTACCTGTTTGAAAGGGCAGCAGTGGAGAAGGAAAAGATGGGGAGAACAGGGTAAGAAAGGTTCTCATTTAAAAAGCTCAGTCTCTGAATAATATTTCATTTAAGCTGTCCAGTGAGGGAGGTCTTCCAGAGGAGATGGGGCTCTGTGCAGCCCTCCAGAGCCCTTCCACTTCTGCCCTTCCACCTGCCCAGGGCCCGGGGCTGGAAGGCACAGCCAGGCTTCTGTCTGCACTGCACGGTGCTGTCCACACAGGGCAAACAAGTATCTGCAAGGAAATCTGCAGAAAAGGTAGCAGCTCTGTCTTATAACGGGAAAATAGGAGTTTGGAGCAAATTATTCTGTTTCTTTTAGGAGAGAGATACTTCACTAGCTTTGTGAGGGTGGGAGACAACTAAAGCCTTGCAAGCCTGGTAGACAATTTTAGTTTTAATAGAACTGTTAAGCCACTTCTCAATTCTGAATTACACAACTATTTTACTTCAAATTTTGTGACTTCTTAAGTAGCCCAGGGATGCCCTGGGCTTTCATGAATAAATAATGGTTTTTGTCTGAAAAATATAACCACTAAATTGATTTCTTTAATGGGAAAAAAGGTATGTCTCCCTGGATCTAAGAAATCCACACAGGATAAAAATTGGGCTATTGATTTCTGGTTCTGGCTCTATGATCTACATAAGCACTCAAAGTGTGAGCAACTGTGGGTTTTTTCACATAAAGAAATTTGTTTTCAGCTTTCTATCCTTGGGGATTTAATGGGCTCTACATTTTGTAAAGCAATAAAGTGATTACAATGTCACGCTGCCAGTACTAAGCACACCCTGACAGGACAGCAGTTGTGTCTGTGTGGCCACAAAGTGCTGCTTCTGTCTTCTCCTTCCCAGGCAGCAAAGCAGTCTCGCAGCAAGCTTTATGAAGGGCTGCATGGTTCCTGCTGCACATCAAACCTCCTCATGTGCTTCTCAAGTGTTACCACATCCTATTTTAACACTGAGACAATTTGCCTCATTTAGGGATCAGAGTAATATCCTAGAAATGGCAGTGCCTCAGAACGGAGAGGAACAGCCCCCTGGGGTATCCTCAGTCATCTGTCCAGCTCTGTGGAAAGCCTACAGGCATCCTGAATGTGCTTACTCAGTGCTAAAAGAATTCTGCTTTTCCAACTGGACAAGGTAACAATTCCATTTCTGTCTCTGTCGTTCTGGTAACAATACTCACAAGAGGTGATTCACCACCTTTCTTCCTGCAGAAAAGGATGTATTATTAAACATGCACGAGGTGCTTCCAGTCCTAATTCCCTTGTTTTACAGGATTCCTCCCACACCTTATGTCTGTTTTGTTGTCACTCAGCATTATTCTTTCATTTGGAAAAGCACAATTTCTCGATTCTTAAAACCAGCAAGGGCCATTATAATTCTTCTGGCCTGCACTGTTTGTTCAGGTGGATGTGGCCCTGCTTGGATATCGACTCATTCTTTTCAGCCAGTAGCTTATGCTGCACAAAACCAACAGACCCAAGTCAGTTCTGTATCTCTCCATATATACACATTCCAAACTGATGTATGGAACAGTCACAGGTCCAGAAAGATGTTAGAGATAGGAGAGGATGATTATCAATGTGTAAATCAGTTCCCTGCAGATTTCCTGGGTTCTTACCGGACCAAGCTGAGTGATTTGAAATGCATTTTTAATGCTTCACTGTAAAATGCACTGCTGCCCAGCAAATAGAAACTATTCCTTACTATGAAAATATACCATCTTACTAGAAAAGAACTTCTGTAGCAATTGTCTGAAGTGGTTAAAACAGCAGAAACATTTAAATAAGGCTTGTCTATCAAAGCTGAACACATCATAGGTGGCCTACCTGGTCTATAACATTGGCACTGAAGATGGCTTCTTCCATGTGTCTCTCATCAGATTTAATTACTGAGCGGATGCTGTTCACTACGTGACGTACTTCTGGAGGGAGATTACAGTTTGAATGTTCCAAAAATTTTGCTACTAAAATTTTTGTGTCCTTATAGGCCTTTAGGTCCACTAAGGAGCGTGGCCGCTCTTTTGTGACCGAGTGAAAAGCCCTTGGCTTTAGGTGCAGGTCAGTTTTCCGGGTGTCCCTCTGTTTTCCAGTTGGTAGGAAACTGCTCAAAGAATGCTGACAAGCAGAGGCAGCCACATGAGAACCAGAAACAGCAACTAAAAAAGGGGGGGAAGAATATCTTTAAAGTAATAGTTTAAAAAAAGAAAAAGAAAAAAAAAGAAAAGAAAAAAGGCAAAACAAATATTGTCACAAAGCTTTTATTTTGTCATAAAATGTCCATTTGTTTGAAAAGAAGCAAAAACATGCAATCAAGGAAACACTGCAAAATGGGCAATTTTAACCAGGAGTCAAGAGTAAGACTTTCCTGTGACCAAGGAGGACTGCCTTGAGAATGAGCTGGTGGGTGGTTAAAGGGCTTCATAAATCACAGACGTTTTTGTTCCCTCTACCTTCAGAGGCTAGAGTGGATATTAATAAGGATAAACATGACCTACTCTGTATCACATATGTAACTTGGAAAGTTTTAGGCCTAGCTCCCCCTTTCCCCAAACTTAAGTCTAAAGTTCTGCTTGTTTCTAGGCCTCGAAAATTAGATGCAGTGAATAATAGAAGAGACATCAGCAAAAAACCCAGGGAAAGCAAAAATGCTCATCTAAAGCAGAGCAGCATTTATTTTCATTCAAGGCTGGTTCCATCAGCACTGTACACCACATGGGTATGCTGTTAGCTAAGGGGCCTTTCTGCCACATTTTCTAAAGCTCATTTCTCTATCACAAGCTTTCAATTATTTTTAAAAGAAAAGAAGGAAAGCCATATCCTGCTTTAGAAAACTGATCCTCACCTGTTTCTACTGTAGCTGGAGATAATCCTGTATCTTGGCACTGGCTGCATACAGGAGTCCAGGCACAAGTATCACCTTTACCAAAGAGAGAGACAGAAAAAGCAAAGTCAACCCAGGCTGTCTTCTGCCCAAAACAAGTTAAAATACACTGGAAGCTTTTACTATCTCCTTTACAGAATGAAACTACTCAGAAGAAATGCTGTTTTCAATATTTCCATTCATAAAGAGAAGCTACTACGCCCAGAAATGTCCTATGAGCTGTTAAACAGATGCAAATAGGAAGATAAAGCTCCTGCTTGATGGCTTCCTCTGTATTCCGAAATATTTCAGGCCTAAGCACTGAAGCTCTGGAAGGTTCCCTACTAGGGGCAATCCTCAGACTTCTCTATACTTCCTTGGCAGACAGAGTTTATACTGGAAAATGGGAAAAACAAGAAAGATGGATCCCTATTATTTCTACAAACCCAGCCTTTTATTCAGTGTTCTACCTCCTTTTCCATATTCTCATTCTTGGCACCCCTGAATAAATGAATGGGCAGTGACCACTGTGTGGTATCTGATGAGCTGGTCAATCCCAAGGGGTTCTGGAGCATCTACAAACAGTTCTGGACACAACCTCCAACCACAGTCTCTGGGATGCCAGTGCAAGGATCAGCAACTCTGAGATCACACTGTACAGAACTATCACTGCAGTTCTTTTCCTTTCTGACAGTCAAGATGGAATAAGTTCTCACTTTTATGCTGTGGCTCTTAACATCTGCTTCCAAGACTGAAAACTACGGAACTTCTAGGGGGATCAGAAGAGGTTTCCTTCCATATCTCCAGGGACAGTTTATAATGAAAAGCTGTATAATCCTCTCTGGTAGAGTGAATAATTAAATGAAGGAAACAGATGTTAAGATGCTGCAAACATAGAAAATCTGTAAGAAATGAAGAGAGACAGCTTCTATTCTGTCTTAATTTGCTCTATTATGCTGAAGTACTGCAGCACATGAATCATGGCATGCTTATTAAGAGAGACACTTCAGAGGTTCTGCCTTCCCATCCATTACTGTACTGCTTAATGTC